ACCTTGTGCGTGAACCTCTGTCTAAACAGAGATTCTTGGAGGTGGAGGGGGACTACAACCCTTTTTCCTCCCAAGGGAAACATTTTCTCAAATGATTTGAAAGGACTGTAATTGTAGTTATAATCAAATTATTGTTTAAAACAATGTTAAACAGACCAAAAGCATGATGTCAGGACAAGGTGATTACTTTTTTTGCTAGTGTTTAATTGCTTTTTTGTTTCTCTTTGAAAGTTAGGATGCTTGGAATAGAGGATTTGGCTTGATAACTTAAATTTGTTGCAAGAGTAATTCATATTTATGGCAGAGACGTTAGAAATGGCAAATTTTTACTAAGAAGGAAACAGAATTATCCATAATTTTGACATCTAACAATAAACACCCTAGGGATTTGGGTGCGTGTCCTTCAAATTTATATTTTCACGTGTGCATTTTTAATAAAGAATTGTTAGCACATGATCGAGTCTGTTTAGCATGTTGTTTTCCCCTGAAACATGGCATGATGCCCATTTTCTCATGTTTAAGCATATTTGTGTGTCATCATTTTGCTGACGTGTATTCTGGGACCTTGAGCAGTGATTCCCTGATGCCACGCCTCTTCATGAGCACTGGAGGTCCTTGTTTTCCTACTCCTTGGCAGACTCGGGGCTCTTGATGGACCCGTCAGTGCCCCAGTGACTGGTGCAGTGCAGGCTGGAGGCTCGGCTGGAGAAGCCGTTTGCTGCTCTTCCTGGAAATGGCGGTGGCCTTTGTTTTCTAACTAACTGTTTTATACGTGTGGGAATGAAAGCTCAGTATCTTAAACTCCTCTGTGACTGTTTCATTAGGGTGTATTCTGATCAGTGGGATGGCTGGGTCAGAATTATATGTCCTTTTGAAAGCGTAAAAGCTTTCAGACTACAAAATGCCTTCCAGGACGTGTGCCTGAATTGATATTCTCATCACGAGCTAGAGAGGGTACCTGTGTCTAGGTAATTAGCAAACTAGGTAAAATCCTGAAACGTTTTGAAATTGTTCACTGGTCGTAAGGTATTCTGAATATTAGGACTACACATTTCTTCTTTGAGTCGACAGAATTAAAAGGCCTGTGTTTCCTAACGATAGCGTTGTTTACAGTTTTTGATAAAATTGCTATGGTTAAAGGGCACGTTTATTTTACTTCTGGGAGCCAGACAGTGCAGGCTCTAGGGCTTCCCTTTTGCCTTTCCTTGGATCTTCCTGCAAACCACAGAGTCGTAATCTTAGGGTTTAGCCCACAGCTATGGACTGCTAGGACCTGAAAGAGTAAAGACACAAACAAACAAACAAACAAACAAACAAACAAACACAACTAGACCAGCACGTCAGAGTCAAATTCATAAAACTACGTCACGAGCCTTGGGCAGTGAGAAGGCTGACTGTCCTGCTGGTCCACCAACCCCAAGGATGATATTCCTGCTCTGAACAGCCAGTGCACAGAGAGACCCATAGGGCCCGCCCCAGCGTCCCCTCACTGACTCATAGTACTATGGGGACAACATAGGAGACATTGCGGAACTGTGCCCCGTCTGACCCCACCACACTGGGGAGAATCAGGAAGGGAGTGTAACAGAGCAGCAAGGGGAACAACGCAATGAAGTCCCCAAGGAATCCCAAAAGTAGACTTTGGGGCCAGGGCTTGGCACCTTATCAGACTCGATTGGAAAACATTCAGAAAGGTGAATAGAAAGATCTGGAACTATTTATAGGCTTTTCTCTTTTTTTGTCTTCTTTGTGTCTGTCTATATAAGATTGGCAGGATAAACATTCCCGAGGAGAGAGCAGTGGGACTGATGGTTGGGGTGAGGGGCCATGGAAGAGGGTGAGGCAGGGAAAGGAAGCAGGGAGCCAACAAACCCAGGGACAAGGGAACAACAAGTGTTCTAAAATTGATGGTGAGGAGGGTGTAGAATGCTTGGTGGGCCTTGATCAAGTGCAGTGTAGCCCAGAGGAATTACTGAAAGATGAATGAAGGTTAAACATGATAGTGGGACATGAGGAAAGTAAAAGGAAATAAAAGAAAGAACTAGGAGGCAAAGAACATTTATAGAAATATAAATATGGGCACATAAATATGTCAATATATTTATATGTAATGATAGGGAATAGATCTATATACATGTATATTAAATATTAAGGTAGCAGACAGACATTGGGCTTCTACTCAAGTCCTCCTCAGTGTAAGAACACTTTGTTCTAGTAACCTGGCATTCTGTGATGCTCACCTTCCTGACACAATCGCTGAAGACAAAACGGGTGCATAAGTAAATGTGATGAAGAAAGCTGATGTTATCTGGCCAGCAAAAGATACAGCATCTGGGGTCTTAAAGGCTTGAAGATAAACAAGTGGCATCTAGCTGGGAAGCAATAAAGCTCACATGGAAGAAGCACACCAGCCTGTGTGATCATGAGGTGTTGATGGGATCAGGTATCAGAAGACCCAGAACAAGCAATCATATTGATGCAAATGAGGTGGGGTGGGGGTGGGGGAGAGGAGACCCAAAGCTCATCTGTAGGGGAGGGGGGGTGGGGGTGGGGGAGAGGAGACCCAAAGCCCATCTGTAGACAATTGGACATTCCCTCACAGAAGGGTCACAAGGAAGGGACGAGCCAACCAGGGTGTAGTATAGCACCAACAAAACATAAGAATATTCCTCTAGTTCTTTTAATGCTTCTACTCCCCCTCTATCATGACCCTAATTCTACGGTACAAATCCGGCGGCTAGACCAGAGCATGTACATGGGTACAGATAAGAGCTCTCATCACATGGAACCCTGGAAAATAAACCCCTCAGGAACAATAATGGTAGTAGTGATACCAGGAGGGTAGGGGGCAAGGTGGGGGTGCAAGACAGAGGGGATCACAATGATCGATGTATAAGTGTGAAACGTGGGTGAAGGGAGACAGTGGTTGGGGTAAGATATGAAAAAAAAATTATAAATTATCAAGGGTTCATGAGGGAGGGAGAGTGGACAAGGGAGGAAAAAAATGAGCTGATAGCAAGGGCTCAAGTAGAAAATATTTTGAAAAGGCTGATGGCAACATATATCCAAATGTGCTTGACACAATGGATGTATGGATTGTTCTAAGTGCTGTAAGCCTCCACTAAAATGATTGGGGGAAAAAAAGAAGGCTGACTGGCAAAGAAAGCAGGTATGAATAAGCCTTTTTTTGTGTTTGCCTCAGATCTGTGATATGTTCCCAACTGTTGCATGTGCCATCCTCGGGCTACACCATCGTTTCTGTAAACATCGTAACTCATCTGTGCACTTTTAACGATGTGATTCTCTGTAAAAAACACCTAGCTGCACTTGGCACTGGCATTTTCAAATTGTGTGGGAACTTGGGCCGTTTATATTTTCTAGTTTCGGGCGGTCATTTACCTAAACTATGAGCAGGACTTTGTACTACAGGCTTTGAGACTCAACATTTTCATCACGAGTTTTCACTGTTTCTCTTTTATTCACCAAATCTTGTAGCACCATCGCTTGGAATTTGGTGGCTAGTTACTATGAGCAGCTCCCTTATGGGAGGTGTGGATTGATGACTGCTCAGGAGCCATGGAGTGGGCACTATGCCGTAGAACTTCCCATGTGCTCTGAAGTCCTCCTCTGCTAGATTCATACCTTGTGCGTGAACCTCTGTCTAAACAGAGATTCTTGGAGGTGGAGGGGGACTACAACCCTTTTTCCTCCCAAGGGAAACATTTTCTCAAATGATTGGAAAGGACTGTAATCGTAGTTATAATCAAATTATTGTTTAAAACAATGTTAAACAGACCAAAAGCATGATGTCAGGACAAGGTGATTACTTTTTTTGCTAGTGTTTAATTGCTTTTTTGTTTCTCTTTGAAAGTTAGGATGCTTGGAATAGAGGATTTGGCTTGATAACTTAAATTTGTTGCAAGAGTAATTCATATTTATGGCAGAGACGTTAGAAATGGCAAATTTTTACTAAGAAGGAAACAGAATTATCCATAATTTTGACATCTAACAATAAACACCCTAGGGATTTGGGTGCGTGTCCTTCAAATTTATATTTTCACGTGTGCATTTTTAATAAAGAATTGTTAGCACATGATCGAGTCTGTTTAGCATGTTGTTTTCCCCTGAAACATGGCATGATGCCCATTTTCTCATGTTTAAGCATATTTGTGTGTCATCATTTTGCTGACGTGTATTCTGGGACCTTGAGCAGTGATTCCCTGATGCCACGCCTCTTCATGAGCACTGGAGGTCCTTGTTTTCCTACTCCTTGGCAGACTCGGGGCTCTTGATGGACCCGTCAGTGCCCCAGTGACTGGTGCAGTGCAGGCTGGAGGCTCGGCTGGAGAAGCCGTTTGCTGCTCTTCCTGGAAATGGCGGTGGCCTTTGTTTTCTAACTAACTGTTTTATACGTGTGGGAATGAAAGCTCAGTATCTTAAACTCCTCTGTGACTGTTTCATTAGGGTGTATTCTGATCAGTGGGATGGCTGGGTCAGAATTATATGTCCTTTTGAAAGCGTAAAAGCTTTCAGACTACAAAATGCCTTCCAGGACGTGTGCCTGAATTGATATTCTCATCACGAGCTAGAGAGGGTACCTGTGTCTAGGTAATTAGCAAACTAGGTAAAATCCTGAAACGTTTTGAAATTGTTCACTGGTCGTAAGGTATTCTGAATATTAGGACTACACATTTCTTCTTTGAGTCGACAGAATTAAAAGGCCTGTGTTTCCTAACGATAGCGTTGTTTACAGTTTTTGATAAAATTGCTATGGTTAAAGGGCACGTTTATTTTACTTCTGGGAGCCAGACAGTGCAGGCTCTAGGGCTTCCCTTTTGCCTTTCCTTGGATCTTCCTGCAAACCA